TGGGATCAGTCATCTGAGACGATACAGAATACATTTCTCACTTTTCAAATACGATACATGTATATGTCTCAGGAAAGTGAGACAACACAAATCCGGTATTTTTGGGTATTCCAATTCTGAGACGATACAGATAAACGCCTGATACCGTATTGTATCGTCTCTGTGGCACCGTTGCAAGCACCCAAGACGTTTCAAAGCAATAAATGAGAGAGATGTCATCAGCCACATATCAAAAGAGGATAATGAATGTCAAAATGGACCCAGGTACTGGTTGTACCGCCGATACCTGCATGTTTTTTGCCAAAATCAGACACCCGGTGTGGAACTACTCTTGGGATGAATAGAGCTTGAGAGGGATGAGTGCTTTATTGGTCTGCCTCTCTGATAACAAGAAAATATAAGAGTATGGACTCTTAAGGAAAGGTGTGGCTTTGGAGATTTCTTGAGGATGGTATGTCTAATGTTTCTTATGTTTACTAGTCTAAATATACTTGTTCACAAATCAAGGTATCCCAAATGTTGATGGGCAAATACCTGGCTAATAGTGGGTGATCAGTTATCTGAATTTCTGGGGCAGGATCTGATGTGGAACAAATGAAGAGGAAAAACAAAGCTCCTTATATACAAAATTCTGGGGAGTGGCCAGCTTGTGGTTGGAAGATAAATGGAACATTCTATGAGAGCATGAAACAAGAGAAAATATATTTATCCATAGAAACAGGGGAAACAAGCAGTGGGAAAATGCTCCCAAGGTTACTAGTATGAAACAAATAAGGGGTGGAATATTCCATGGAAGAAAATAGCAGGAGATAACAGTTTCATGGTCAAGGGGATTGTTACTAGTGTGAGACACAAGGAGGAGGAAGAATGGAATTGTTTTGAGAGGAGTGAGTTTCAAAGGTGTGGAGTTTCTGTTGGGATGGGAGGGGGAAATTATATTATCCATGTGAATTGTGCCTGGGTGTTTCCATGAGTGTTTGTTTGGGGGCCTGGGAGCTTTCTGGGATGTCTTGACTGTGTGATTCTTCTGTGATTTGTTTTCTTGATAATTTTGGAATTTCAGAGTGGCTTACCACACTGGCACTGTCTGAGGGGTACCACGGGTCTTTTAGGCAGGTAGCAGCGTTACTCGCTGGGATTTTTTTATAAAATTTCTCGTGTTCGTTGCAGTGCAGCATGACGCTGGTCAAGGATTGGTGGACAAAGTTGCGTTGCTGAGTTGATGAGCAAACCATCACATATCCATGTACATATCCATCTCTGAAGCGGACTAAGAGTTGCGGATTCCCATTCACTCCCAGGGGGCAGGAAGTACTTTGGGGGGGGGGGGTACCCGGGTACCTCACCACCTTTCTCCAAAAAATGGGAACCCGGCACCGCCTGGAGGGTGCAAGTGGTACCCGCCCAAGGGTGCTGGGTACCTCCAAACTGGTACTGCTTGACATTAATGAAAAGAGGACCAGGAACATCAAGTGGGGATTTCTGCAGAATTCTTGTTTTCATCACACAATTGGAAAGAAACTCATAATCTCAATTGAAAGCTTTAGTTCGGTTCTTCTGATTGAAATCATTGTACTTTTTCAACACCAGGCTGATGAAAAGTTTCCCTCACATTTTTTTAGACATTACAGCAAAAGTGGAAGTAGATACCTCAAGAGGCACATATTTTATTCCTAACTACCTTGAGCTGAAGGAGTACCTAATCTCAAGGGTGAGGCTGTCAGAGATACTTTTCAGTCAAAGAAAGAACACATTAGGAATGGGGATAGCAATTCCTCATTTTTCAACTGAGAGGCTTGTGCCTCACAAAGGGGAGATTTTTCTACCTCCTACAAGGTGTGATCAATGTGTTAAGTATCAAACTAAAGGTGTATTTCAGATCAGTAAGAATGAAATACAATAAGATAAAAAACAGTAATGATAACAAATGAAGTGAAGAAGAAAATGTGTACCTAAAGGCAGGAGCAACAATAACAAGGGACACGACAAAGAAGGACAATGAAGGAAAGAACAAAGAGTGACTAAGATAGAGGAAAGATGTCAGTTGATAGGAGTTCGTGTTGATGAAGATGATTGTATCGATAACCTACGACGATAGGAAAGACAAGGACAAGTGCTAAAGATCGGCAAAGTGTCGAGAGGAAAGGGAAGCACACGAGTCAGCAGAGATAGTCGAGGGTGCTAATAGTCGGCGAAAAGTCGAGAGGAAGGGAAAGCACACGAGAAGGCGGAGATGGAAATAATAGATGGTGTTTTAGATAGAGAAGATAAATGGTAGGGATTGTTCAATGTAACTGGAAGAGAGCAATCACGATGAGGATGGAAAAGTAGAAGATAATGATTTGTGTTCTTCGATCCTGAGGAAAAGAGAGAGACAAAGTTACTCGGAATATGATATCTTATATATGACAGTCAGAAGTTTGTATGATGATGTCATTGTTAACTCGACTAGGATTAAGTAATCATTAATATAAGTAGAACTACCGCTAGAGCACTGGAGGGATCGAGGTCAAATCTCAACACAATGTTTAATTAATGAGCCTGGAAGATGATTTATAATCAACCAAACTTCTTCTATCTATACTGCCAAATTAGCATAGTGGTAGACAACACTGTTTCATTCTGTTGTAACTTGGCCAAGCCCTCTGTTCAATCCCAGACCCCTTCATCACCAGAAGCGAGCCCAAAATTTAGATCATCAATCATGAAATTAATTGCTGTAAAGGTTATGCTGGCTGCTATGCTCCTTTCAGCATCCTTCAATATGTACTTCTCATCTGAATGCGATGAAATTGTGACCATATCATCAGAGAGCTCAGATCATCCAACCTGTCTCACTTGCATGAATCAACCTGGTGGATGTCGTCACTGCCGTAGGAAAAAAGTCATGCCTAATTCTAGCTGTTGACCTCTGATGAAAAACAAGAAAATTGAAAGAAAAAAAAAATGCAAAAATGGTTTAGAACAAATCCATGATCAGAAAAGTTTAACAAAGGTTAACATAATAAAAAAAGGAAAACCCACAAAAAAGATGAAAATAAGAAAAACACAAAAAATACAGAAAATAAATATAAATCAACAATTAAAAATGAAAGTAAAAGTAAAAATCAGTAAAAATCAGTAAAGAGAAATTACTCTACCAGGATCACCTGAAACTCTGGGAAAGAACGCCCTTCCTAAACCTAGAATCATTGCACCTGGGCCTTTGGCCAACTATTTTTTGGTTTAGCCTGATGAAAAATTTATCAAAATTTGACAACTTGGAAAATTCCACCAACTTGATGAGCATGAAATGATGCCCTGAATTCTGTCAGTCAGAGATTCAAACACAAAGTTTAGAAGGTTTGGAGACCTAAAATAGATATTATGTCAAATAATCGCAGGATACAATTTAACTAATTATGACCAACAAGAGATAAAATCTGTGATTATATACACTAAATAGATATTTAGCATACTTGGATGTCAATACAAAAGAAAGAGCCAGATGAAATCAGGTCTCAGAATGTGTGCAAGCATCCCAAAAAAAGTGTGTGCTCCTCAGGTCAAGGTGAAGGTTACATGACATTCACACACAGCTGGATCACTTTACTGAAGGTATATTCAGCTTCACAGAAATGGGTTTAACATACTAAATTTTTGAATCAATTTTTACAGATCTGGTTGATTTTTTATTACACCTCTTAGCCATGATCATCACCTGCCAGCCTAATTACTATCAACTGGATGTTGTGGAGTTGCCTTTGAACTGTGTTTTTGACTGGCTTTGTGTGTACAAGCAAGCTATCACCATTTCAGACAGCTCATCAAGGTGAAAATAGGACGTGAGAGAAGCAGGACAAGAAATTAGCAAGGAAGAATAATGGATTAAGCCACACCCAGGACTTGGTGTGAATCCACTCCATATCAGTAATCAAAATTAATATTTGGGAAACTCTCAGCTTTCTGAATCCGGATTTCTTGAAAAGTCCAAAAGCTTTATGGGTAGCTCCCCTGTTAGTGCAACATCCATTCACACAACCCATTCTTGCAAAAAAGTTTACACAATCATTCATAATTGTTACAAAATCAGGCAGATGTTTGGCTGGGAAATGATCTGCCATAATAATCTGACATTTTAAATCTGCTGTGGGAGAAGCACATGATTGCAATCATATATTTACTGAAAGAGCTATGTTTTTCAGGCCCTAGTGTGAGGTGAGAAAGATTGGCAAGCTTAAATGATCCTCTCATAACAAGAGTCATGTGCGGGCAGGTCTGGGAGGCATCCCAGTCTTGTCAGAGAGGCTTACATACTATTGCTCAAAGCTTGTGTGAGGCAGGCCTGTTTTTGAGGCCTGTTTTTGCATTTTCACCTCTAGCTTCTGTGTCATTATTTTTAAAATTTCAATGTAGTCTTTTTTTTGTTCTCTACCATCTTGTTGATCTTTCTGTATTTTTTTTATTTGTATTTCAATGCCAATCTTTTCAAGAAAAACAAACAAAAAAAAGAGAAATTCTCATTTTGCAGGCGCAAAATATGCATATACTGAGATTGCACTCAAGCCTCTCTGCCAAATTTGCAAATCAAAGTTCAAAATCATGAACTTCATTTCCTATTTTCAGCAGAATCACATAAATTTTCAAAATAAAAAAATATAAGAAAATCAAGATTATGTATATCTTTCATCTACTAGTAGTAGAACCAAGAAAAAAATTGGATTATAATGAATGAGTGGTGGGGCAAGGAAGGTTGCCACCACCAAAACTGTGTTTCTGGCTCACGCCAGATAAGCGTTTTAGCATGCAAGTCCCTCCCTGCGGGAAGGGACTCTTCGCGCCCAGCCAGTCACACCAGTGAGCCTCCCACCAGGGACTTGTGTTAAGTTTGAAAGATTGGGGACCCCCTTCCCGGGTTCCAATAAAATCAACCACTTGGAAAAGTGGTGATACATGACTTGTGACAGGTATGCAAAAAGGGGTTCACAGGCGGAGTCACAAATCGGGGGCACTTTGACTTTCAGAGCGTCGAGGGTGGGACCATCAACCTCAGCATTCACACGTAGGAGAGGGCGAGGACACCTTTGTATAGGACGAATCCAGACTACAGCTATAGTGAGCATCGACCATCCAATACTACCACAACGGAACTAAAAGAATCGAAGCTCTGTCAGATTATAGGTACGTGGCTCAATCATCTTGTTTCTTTTCTGGATCTGGTGCTAATGTTCTCGTCAGATCGGCTTCTTCCTCTCGAACTTCACAGACCGACTTTCAAAGTGTTTCTGGAAAATATACAGGATATATTTCTAGCAGGATATACATTATACTTCGAGCCATGATGAATGCAGTAGCAGATGATGAATTCGAATCAGTCCTGTGGATCGCCCGGGAGTGCTACGTCTATCGATTACCACCACGGTCCGTAACCTTGCCTCTCCTCCAGACGATCCCTCCAACCCGATCGAATCTTCACTGTATTCTAATCAGTATGCTCATACTTGTCATGTTAAAGGACTTCCTCCGCCGGCTACAAGGCCGCAGAATGGGGCGACATGGAAGCCTTTCTTTGGAAAGGAAGGCTACGAATCCTCGAGAGAGGGAGCGAGAATGACCCGACCAACTCGACTAAATGCTTCATTCGGCTGGAAGATGCGGACACTGGTCAGTTTTCAGGTTTTTTTTTTTTGGTAGCTTTCCCTTCATATGTTGTTGTGTATTCAACGCTAGATAATTATGGACATTGAACATGAACATAAAACGTGAAAATATTAGGTGAACTGTTTGCAAACTGTCCCTACACCCTTGATGGGAAATCCGTCGAACCTGTCCTTGATTCATCACGTTATTACGTGATCAGGGTCGAAGATGCCACAACTGGTCAACGAGCTTTCCTGGGCATGGGGTTTCCCGAACGGTCCGACAGTTTTGATTTCAATGTGGCCCTTCAGGATTGGACCAAGTTCAGTTTCTTTGAGTTTTTCATTTTTCCTTTTGTTCTTGATGAAGTATGCATGTACAAGCAGCCTATATTCCTATCTCAACAATGAGCTGGAATCAGAAAACTAATACGATATCTAATCCTTCTATTTAAACGCGAATGCATTAAAACAAACACAACTAAGGCGACAACGCAACACAACCAAACGGGAGGAAGTCGATCAAGGGCCATCGCCGCACATCCCCAGCGGTCCAAAGCGGGATTTCTCACTGAAGGAGGGCCAAACGATCTCGATCTCGTTTGGAGGCGGACACGGCAATCGGTCTACCTCATCAACAACCAAGAAGTCCACTGGATCCGCTGCCTCTGACGCCCTTGTCCCTCCTCTTTTACCTCCTCCTCCACCACCTCCTCGAAAATAACTCAAGTCATCAATCTCAAATCTTATCTCTTCTTTCTAGTTGCACAGATTTTTTTTCTTCCTTTTCTTCGTGAGTCCTTTTTGCTGAGATAACCCTCATATCATCTTACAGCTGTCGATATATTTCATGTATAGTGGCCTGCTTCTCCCTTTTGTTGAGTAGTGTGCTTTGTAAGATCACCATTTGTCTACCTAAAAAGCATTATCCTGTTTGTTTGATTTTTTGATCACACTTTTTAATTGTAGGTAGTGGAATTATAAAGATGGCTAAGATACTCCACGGCTGCAAAAACATTTTAGCTACTCTGCCTGTCCCTTTTGTTAAGTTTCAATTATTGGATTGACCAAAATAGTGTCAGTGAGAACAAGAGATCTGGGAGTGATGTGGGATTGAGGCATGACTCCTTGTTATGTAAACATTGATGAACATCAGTCATGCTGGATGTCTGTCACAGATCTCATTGTGGATTGCATTTGCAAGTGAGATTTGTGAGTCAAACTAAATATCAACACCTACACTATTTAGCCTTTGCCAGCAAGGTGCTTTCTTCATGTGTCAATTTTCAGGGTTTTTTGTGGTGCCAACAATCCATGTCCAACACAAACATTGTATTTTTTAACAAAGAAATGATTGTAGACTTAAACTTTCACACAATCTTTCACAGATGACATTTGATATTCTTTCAAGGTCCTGGAATCCCAGATTCCAATTTCTACTTCTTCTCAGGATCACAAGCAATTGTTTTCGACCAGCAATTACCAAAAAAAAATCAAGCTCATGTGATGATGAGAATGAACCACCACAGTAATTCAAGACTTGACAGTCATCAAAGATGGTATTTTTTTTACAGAAATCACTAGGTGTCATCTTGATCAATTATTCAACAACAGCATTCAGGGGAAAATTTGCCACAGCTAGCTGCCTTCAAGGCAATGAGCAAGCATTCTGAGGAATGTTCATAACAAGGAACAAATCCCAAGCTTGCATCATAGTATGGAATGAACAATTTGATGTACAGGTTTGACTGCAACAAAGTGAGAAATTTACAAATAGATAAATTATGGAGAGAAATGGGTTTGTGGGTACCATAATCGTGTTGTCTGATTCAGGAGTTGGCTGGGAAACTCTGGTACATTATGCTTAAAGTTTGCCTTAAAAGCTTGGTGACTTTCAAAGGTGAAAAGTTGCTTGATATTCGGCGACAGATGCCAAGGTGGATCTCTATTGGTGGTTTTAAAAGTTCAGAGCTTCCTAGGATCTGATCTATCCATAACCCTTATTGTTCGGATTTTCATCAGATTGTCTTGGGTTCCTTGGGGATTCGCCTGAGCTAGATTTCAGATGAGGACAATGGTGTCTGGTGTTCGAAGGGCCTCTTGCAGCCTATATTAAAGTAAGTTAAATACCTCAATTTTCACTTGGCAGGCCTTCTACTTCTAGCTCGACTTGACTTCTACTCAGAAATGAAATCTGATGTGATCACCCTGTGCAAAGGGTGAGTGTACAATCTAAAGTTGGCCAAGTCCCAGGATGAGGTGAGTCTCTGTGGAGGTCCAAGAATCGCTATGCCCAGCTTAGTTCTGCTGTGAAATGTATGATGGAGGCAACTTGAGGCCAAGCTCGTAGTTTTTGTAGCTACCAGTTTTGAACCAATCGCTTACATATTGTTCCCGGGGCCAGGTTGTTCTGCCACGATTTTGCTCTGCCCACAAGTGCCGATCCTTCCCAACGAGCGTCCGCTGTTCTTTCCATAGAAGTGTTTTTTTTTCTTTTTGATTTGGTTGAGTGGTCTCAATCGCTAAACCATGGGATTCGATCGATTCGTATGAGGCTATGAGCCGCTTCCAGCTTGCTGTCTCTATCGACAGCGTCAACTTCAAGGTATGCGATCGATGTGAAGTCGAACCAAACAGCGAGCACTCGATCAGGCTGGGAAGTGGAACTGTGTGGATGATGTCAAGGGGCGAGATGAGTGTGCGATGGTGACCAAGTTTGTCTCCACCCACAGCTGTTTGATTCGCTTGGAGATGAGGTTCTTCTGACATGTATGAAAGGAGTGATGAAAGGCTGGAAGGACAAACAAGAAGTAAAATGTTAATCTTGATGCGGATGTGTCAGTCGAAAGCACGCTGTGGGCTGTATGATGCTTTTAAAAGCCCTTGGCCCTTCACCCATCCTCGGCCTCGAAAACTGTAGAGAACCAACCACTCGACTCAAACAGTCCCAGAAGAAGAAAAAAAAAAAAGAAACATCCTCCATCCATCCACATATCCCCACCAGCTCACCCGATCCAACCATCACACACAGTATGGCTGCCCAACTTCGGGATGTCTTCGCCCAGAAAGCGAGCAGAGAGCTCCCGGTCTTTGTCACTTTTATCACTGCGGGTAAGTCTCTCAAACTTGCTCTCTCTCTCAAAATCTGTGGTGCAAATCATCAGCTGACCGTCGATCCCCATTCCGTCTCTTCGTCTGTTAGGTTATCCTAACCCCGAATCGACCGTCCCGCTGATGTTGGCCATGGAAGCCGGAGGCGCCGATATCATCGAATTGGGCGTTCCTTTCACGGACCCTTTGGCCGATGGACCCGCCATCCAAGAATCTAACAACGTACATACCCTTCGTTTTCCTTCTTTTTATCTCCCCCATTTATCCCTCATGTGATTCGCAATTTTCCGGGGTTTTTTTTTACGCTGAATTATCAAAAACATCCGTTTTTTTCTTTTCTCTCCCAGGTCGCCCTCAGTCATAATGTAGATTACCGCAAGTGTTTGCAATTCGTTTCTGAAGCCAGATCTCAGGGATTGAAAACCCCGGTCATCTTAATGGGTGAGTTATTTTTCGCATTTTTTTTTCTGGCTTCGGGCTCAAGATCAAAAATTAGAAATTTTCTTTCTATGTCCCTTTCTTCTTGCTTGTTGATGTATATATATATATGTATATACATGTACCCTGGTCAATGAGATTAATAAACTGATTTCCACGAAATATTTCAGGTTACTACAACCCTCTCATGGCCCATGGAGAACAGGCCTCGATTGACGATGCCAAACAAGCCGGTGCCAACGGATTCATTGTCGTTGATCTACCGCCTGAGGAGGCCGTCAAGTTTCGAACCCTTTGTACTAGCTCTGGGTTCGTATTTAACTAAGATTCTCCCATTAAGAAAAGATGACGAAACCTCAGTTGGTGGCTCTGACACATCTTCATTAACATTTCTGATAACAGGTTGAGCTATGTGCCTCTAATTGCACCCACAACGACTGACTCTCGAATCGGTTTCTTGAGTTCGATAGCCGATTCATTTATGTATGTCGTCTCCAAGGTAAGTTTTTGTGATGGTTTTTTCGCACTTTTAGAGGATTGCGTATCTCACCGCATACTTTCTAAACATGACTATACATCAACACTAGCTGGGTACCACAGGTGCAACTGAAAAGGTAGCCACATCACTGCCAGATCTAATATCTCGGATTCGAAAATTTTCTCATACTACCGATGCCAACAAATCGATCCCATTGGCCGTCGGTTTCGGCATCTCAACGGCAGATCATTTTGACCATGTCGGAGGGCTCGCAGATGGAGTCGTCGTGGGATCGAAGATAATCGAGGTGTTGAAGCTCAACCAAGGCGAAGGTGCGGCCAAGGCCGTGCAACAGTTCTGTGAAGGCTTGTGTGGCGGGAAGACTGGTCGTCCACGCAAGGGACCTATAAATATTGCAATCACCAATCTTGTCTCACAGGTCTCGACTCTCATGACCAATGGTACCAACGGTACCAATGGTGTTAATGGTATTGCCCGCCCACCCGTAAATGGCACCTCCAAACAACCCACTCCCGAAACCAGTTTGCCCTATCGATTTGGCGAGTTCGGTGGTCAATACGTCCCCGAAGCCTTGGTCGATTGTTTGCTCGAATTGGAGACTTGTCACCGTGAGGCGATGGCCGATCCGAAGTTCCAGGCCGAGTTCAAGAGCTACTACGGATACATGAACCGTCCTTCGGGATTGTATTTCGCAGAACGCCTGACCGAGCATGTCGGTGGAGCCAAAATCTGGTTCAAGCGTGAAGACCTCAACCACACGGGTTCTCACAAGATCAACAATGCCGTCGGCCAGATCCTTTTGGCTCGACGATTGGGCAAGACCCGGATCATCGCTGAGACTGGCGCCGGGCAACATGGTGTTGCAACAGCTACCGTCTGCGCAAGGTTCGGTATGGAATGCGTCGTTTACATGGGTGCAGAGGATGCCCGGCGACAATCTTTGAACGTCTTCCGAATGAAAATGCTCGGAGCTCAAGTGGTCGCAGTGACCAGTGGCAGCCAAACCCTAAAAGATGCAATCAGTTGAGTTTCAACGATCATTAATATCTGAGATTCAAACTTTTCATCGAAAGCTGATTGACTATGTGACTATGATTACTTAGACGAAGCCATGCGTGATTGGGTGACCAATGTCAGCACAACACATTATCTCGTTGGTTCGGCCATCGGCCCTCATCCTTTCCCTACAATCGTCCGGGACTTCCAAAGTGTTATCGGACGAGAGATCAAGGATCAGCTGCTGGCTGAAATAGGTAAATTGCCAGACGCAGTGATTGCGTGTGTGGGTGGTGGAAGTAACGCTATCGGGTAAGTTAATTCTCTGGGTGTTGGTAGTGGTTGATTCTAAATACGAGCCTTGGGGTTTCTCTAGAACTTTCCATCCGTTCATCAATGAAAAGAGCGTGCGAATGATCGGTGTCGAAGCTGGGGGGAGTGGGACGGATACCGACCGACATTCGGCGACGTTATCCAAAGGGACGAAGGGCGTGCTCCACGGTGTGCTGACCTACATCCTACAGAGCTCCAGCGGGCAGATCTCGGAGACCCATTCGATCTCGGCCGGACTGGATTACCCGGGTGTCGGGCCGGAGCACTCATTCTTGAAGGACGCCGGTCGGGCTGAGTACCGTGTGGCTACCGATCTCGAGGCCTTGAAAGGATTCCGATTGTGCGTCCAGTTCGAAGGTATTATCCCTGCACTCGAAACTGCTCATGCCATCTGGAGCACTGCCGAGGTGGCTAAGGAACTTGGGAAGGATGCCAACATCGTGATGGTATGTCTTGTTTTTCTCTTTATCTTTGTCATTGAGATCATTAAAGTGCTAATCAATTTGCAATGCATCCTCCCCATCGATTTTCCATTTTTGCTTTGTTCCCTTTCCCATCACTCTAGTGTTTATCTGGCAGAGGAGATAAGGATGTTGAGCAGATTGCACAACAGTTACCCAAGTTCGCTGATGCTCTGGATTGGCACATTTCACCTTGAGTGTATATATCAAACACTTGAGGTACATCAAGATCGAACGATTGCAACTTCGACGTTTCATTGATTGTCGTATTTGAATAGTGATCAACGGCCTGAAGAATCCCATCCAAACTACTCGTCTATACTATAGACTTAGTTTACACATACCATTCATACATATCCCCTTCAGCATTTTTTTTTCTTTCTTTCTTCTTCTTCTTCAACTACCTTGGATCATTCCCAAAATAACCCAAAAACTCCTAGAGTTATATAAAGCCATCAAATGAAAACTCTTCAACCAAAAAAACATTGTAGCAGACCACTGATGATCCCCCATTTTGCATGTGTGTATATAGTTGTTTTCCATTGGGTTGTAAATTTACTCTTGAGAAAATTAAGAATCGGTGGCTCGAGAAATCTCGGGAGGGTGAGGTATCTTTCCCTCCACAGAAGATAGTAAGTAGTAAGGCGGCAACAACATGAGAGTACATAGCTGCCCCAAGCAGCGTCATCCTCGTGAGGTGGGGCCTGTGTCTCTCCCTGCAGTAGTCATCCAATAAAGCATCCGCTCGTTAACTATCTCCTCCAAGCACTTACCAAATGTACATACAGAGTAGGGTGATCGGCTGATAAGCATCAAGGCCACTCTAATCAGCTCTACAGGAGAATGATTGCCTTGGTCGCCGCCCTCAACGGCTTGGGAAAGTGGCGACGGGACCCGTGTGATTATAATAGGGCGACGCGACGCGCGTCGGCCCCCCTTCTGTTTACTCGGCGAGTGGGTCTGCTCCCACTGGAGTGGCACCAATCATCTCTCAACACTACCGTCATCTCACAATCAACCGATCTACTCGCCAAAGTAAGTTATCTACCTTCGGAGTATCGCAACTGCATGCAAGGAACTGATTATTTCCGTTTGTCTTATCCGACGAATAGAGCAGGATGGACTCGGACTCAGATATTGAGATTATACCCTCCAAAGCACCCGCTTCCCAGGGAACGACCCAGACCAAGCAAACGCAACCGAAACCGAAACCGACGGTCGTACGAGACAGGCCACCATCACTGAGCCCGCTGCCGCTCCCAAAGGTTTTAAAACGACCGGCGGAGAAAAGCATCGATGTCAGCCCACATGCCGAACCAGAGAAAGACTGCGAAAGAAGTAACAAACGGAGCCACCAATCATCATCAGCGTCCATTGCACACAGCCTTCGACCATCATCTCCCGAGCTTCCCGAACCTTCGCGCCATTCCTTCTCTTCAGAACTTCCAGCACCTCTGCAGCTTTCCCCAATCAACAGCCCTCAAGCTCAAGAAGATAGACAAGATCAAACAAGGACATTTGATCCAGTATCTTCACCAATCAGTAGAAAATCACAATCTCAAGGAGTCATCGAGCTTGGTTCTAGTCCACTAGTTGACATTCCATCCAGCTTTACCAAGGCTCGGATGCCCATCTCAAATAACCTCAGCCGACAACCATCTTCTTCATCTTCATCCGGCCCATCCCTGAAATCTCTCGCCAAAGAACAAACCTGCAGAGCCAATTCAAACCCTAAGAATCCCCATCAATCCGGCTCCGCTCGACAACAGTCTAAAGAACTTAGTGGAAGCCCCATCCCATTCCGCAATTCTCATAAATCTGGACAAGAGGCCAAAGAGCTCAGTGCCAGCCCGATCCCCGTCCGCAAGAAATCTCAAAACATCGTCCCTCCCGTCGATCCTGATTCGAGCGGCGAACTCTCAGATCTTGATTCTATTCTTGCAAGACATAATCCCTCCTTGCATGCCCCAAATCGGAAACGTGAGTTTGCTCGTTCTCTGTATTCTATCTTACTCTATCTGGGACTCACTAGTTGATCATGAATCGTACGGATTTTCATAGGGAATGATTCCACTGCAGATAAACATCAAAACCTCAATGACGAGTAAGCATTGTTCATCCTGTACTTCTTGTGCCGTCGAAATCGTTGTCCTTGATCCTCGCAAGGCCAAACTCAAATAACAAATACTAACACCTAGTTGGACGATTACAGCTTAGGTGTATCTACGCGAGACCAGTTTCCCGCTCTTACAGGTCCATTGCACCGTAACCATACATCCTCTGCGGTTCTGCAATCTGCAGCCCAAAGCAATAAAGGGCTACCCAGATCTCATTCCGCACCGCAAAAATCCGATAAACCCCAGAATGCTGTCGACAAAGGCAAGGGCAAAGCAGCACAAACATCCGTGACACCACTCAGCCTGATTGATCCAGGGGATGAGAATCTGCTATCTGGTTCGTAAGCTGATTTCTCCTAGACGTTCATTCCATTATGGTAATTGACATCACTTCGACTTCATCGGCTTGACTGATACTAGACTTGGACGATTTCAACTTCAATTACAATCGCAACCCCTCGCCTCCCGCACATTTGCCCAGTAGACCTTCCTCCACTCATCCAAGTCCTCCGCCCAATTCCGCCCCAGTCAGTAAAGCTGCAGCCAGTCGAATCGAGAAGCAGGCCCAAGCCGCCCAAGCTAGATTACTCAGGGAGGCCAAAAAGGTATACTCGCAGTCATTCAAATCCTCCAAACTCAACTATCCCGAGATCTGACTGTGGTTCGTCTCTCACATACTATCTCCTAAAAAAAAGGCTGCCAAAGAAAAAGAAAAGCAGGATAATCGTCTCCAGCGAGAAGCGAACAAATTGACCTTAAATCGGAAGGAGACGGTGGCAGAAGTGCGGATGTGGGTGCCCAAGTCGCTCAAGAAGTCAAAGCTTCATCCGTTTGCGAAAGCCTGTGAAGTGTTAGAGGAGCGGATCTCTTCGACGGAAGGCTGTGTGATGAGGCCTCCGGGAGAGATTGATGACGAAGACAGCGAGCCCAAGGGTGTCGTCAGATGGGTCCGGACGGCCACCAAGGAATGGGACGAGGAGCGCGGCATCTTCGTTCCTTTCGGACTAGGCAAGACTGTCGAAACGTCCGAACCTACCGTCCTTGTCGTCTGGACTGGCAAGGATGTCGACGAGGTCATCGCTTCCGGATCCGATCAACTCATGAAGAAGGCCCAAGCGATCAAAGCACACTATCCACAAGATCAGGTCGGTCTATCTCTTTGTTTTGGCCAACATCAATGTGCTAATATCGGGGGTTTTTTTTTTTCTCATGATGTCACGAATCGCGAAATGATAGTTATTTATTGTGATTTCGGGCTTAGAGACGATCTTGAAAGCGGAACGCAGGAACGAAGATTCGCGGATCATGGACGAAGCGCGCGAGCGACTAGCGGCGCAACGGAACGAGCCCCCGCCATGTCCATCCAAGAGCAAGAGCAGTGGGTCGACGATGCCTCGGAACAGTCGCGACAAGATCCTGAAGGAGCTGGAGGTGATGAAGATCGTCACCAAGGCCTTCGTGATTCGGGTCGAAGAGAAGAACGAATTCGCCAATTGGTTGTGGGAGATGACGATGGAGATCGGCGTGAGACCTTACAAGTTAAGTGCCCCCCCCCCCCTTTCCCCCTGCCTCCTGCTTCGACCAAATCAACTTACGAATGCTCGAGTCTGTTTGATACTCCAAACCGTTCTGGTTTTTTCAGGTCGAGAAAACAGGAATTGAAGTCGGCATTGAGGCTCGAAGTATCGGGGACAAAAGGGACGAATTACGAGGACACGTACATCAAGATGTTGAGCAGCTTGACTCGGGTGACCGAGAACGAAGCCAAAGGAATCGTCGCTAGGTTCCCGACCTTGAAGAGCTTGTATCAATCCTGGGAGAGAGGGATCGAGAAGAATGGGTTGGTTTGGGCCGAAGATATGTTGGTCGGTTGTTCGGTTAGTAACCCCCGTCCCTCTCTCTCTCTTTTATTCTCGAGTAAATTCAAAGCAAATTGACTTTTTGGTTGTTGTTTTGAACTTGTTCAGAAATCGAATTCAATCACCAATGTGAATTCGAATAGGAAAATCGGCAAAGTGACGTCCAAACGAATCTTTGAAATCATGTACAAAGCCAAGAACGGTGATGCCTGTCTCTAACGATTTTCCTTCTCTCTCGACTTCACTCAATAAATCGATCTTCCGTTCAGGACCCCTTCTCTTCAACTATATCACTCTTTTTTTCATGTACACAAATCTTGTCTTGTTCTTCCATGTATTGGTTGTGCTCAATTTATCCATTGCTTTGTGTTGCATCTTTTTTCGAATCTCCCCCTTTGACATATACGGTTTTGATTATAGAGGACCTAGAATATTTTACACCCACATACCCACACACACACCAGCTAATGGTACAAAAACAAAACTCTGATTTCTGATGATTGATTGTTGGAGTCTGGAGAAAGCTCAGCTCATCATCCCAATTCATCAGCCATTCTTGGTGGGAAAAAAGCAGATTGCAATTGTAGTTGTAGTCATGTCACTTTTTTTTTCTGTTTATTATGTTTCAAGGGGAAACCCTTGATGGGTTTTTTTGGCCTATTGTAAGGGGACACCCTTGAATTTTTTTTATTTGTTTCATATCACTGGATTTAATATACTTGGATGATAACCCCCATTTGATTTTGCTTGGTCAGTCAGCAGTCCCTTCAAATGGAAAATCAAACCAAATGCAAAACTCCTGATGTGAGACACTAACAACCATCTGCTAACACGCCTGGCCCTGTCAAAATTGTGATAGAGCAAACTCAACAAGAATCCTTACCAATGCTCTGTGTCCACCAACTTCATTGACCAAGTCTGCCCATCATTGTGGCCCTTAATATTTCCTGGTAAAAATGACTATCATTTCCATGGTAGAATGGAAAGTATTGGTAAAAGCAGCATCTTTGTTTTCTAAGCACCAGTTATGCAACACTATATATGAGATGCTATGTTTTTTTTTTTTTTGCATATTCAGATTTAGTTGCTGGTGCAATTCAGCTGACATGAGTGAACACTTGCCAATCTAGGTAAATCAATCATGGAAGCTCACAGGATGTGCAAGAAATGAATAAAAGATATGGGATTTTGTGAATCACTACATCTTGATCAGGAATCACAGTTTTTTTTTTTTTTTTTTTTTTTTTGAAAACAAAATTGATAGCTAGAATATATAAAATCTAGTTTCTAAAACATTCTATCCAATTTTGATTTTGTGCACTGGTAAAATTGAATAAATCTAATATCTGAACATATTAAAGGACATTCAATATAACCAAATCCACCATTATCCAATCGGTTTGAAAAAATGCACCATTTTTAAAACATGTTGGTTCTTCATTCAAACACATTGGGGGACCATTGATGCAAGCCTTTATTTTTTTGGAAAAGTGAGTGTTTTCTAATGGTGGAATTCTTACATGTGAGATTATATTTCAGACTTTTGAATTTGGATTTAAATCCATCTCTTTATTGTATTTTTCCAAATATTTTGATAAAATTATTCAGATTTAAGAGTCTTGATTGAGTCCCCATGAATTTCTAAGTTTTTCAATTTCCTCTTTCTGCATTTCAGCTAACTTATTTAATTCAGCATTCAATTTTGCCTTATGAGTTGCTTTCTTAGCAGCCTCACGGTCTTCCCAATTTTCTTGTACATAGATAATCGTGGTTTTTAATCCCATCATTTTTTTATAAATCATCAGCTCAAGATTTGGATACAAAATTTATGATTTGATTGGTTGAAGAAAACTTACTTTCTCTTGCCTTTTGGATAGCTATGCCTTCTTGTATTTGTTTTAAGCCTGTTTCATTGGATTTTAAAATTCCCCAAAGACATTTTTGTTAGTTTCTTTGTAGGCATGAGGAGGGATTTCTAAAGCATCTTGAGATTCTTAGCAACGGTGGGCCGCTACACTAACCGTAGCGGTTAGTGTAGCGTAACACAGCGGTATTCCTGTTAGCGCGAAGCGTAGTGTAGCGGAATTCCGCCACGACACCGCTAACGCTACGCGTGTGGGCCGCAAAAAGGGCCCACTACGCTGCGCTACAGCGCTTTTTAGTGGTTTTTGGCCGCTTTTTCCGCTAAAAGCGCTGTAGCGCAGCGTAGCGTAGCAAAAAACCGCTAAAAATAAGCTAACACTACAATTTTTTGCTGAAAAAAAAGCGCCGCTACGCTACGCTTTTTGGGCCAAAAGCGTAGCGTAGCGTAGCGGCCCACCGCTGTTCTTAGTTTAGTGGTAAAACAATTTTATTGCTTAATTCACTAAACAGAAGAATGGCTGTTTTCTTTATAATCCTAAGAAACAAATGAAATAAAACCTCTTTGGGAAGGTAGACATACGTTCGGAAGGTTCCTCCTCCATCCTCTTGTGAAGGTGGTGAAGTTGAGTATCTCCAGAAAAACCTTTAAATTCTCTCTTTTCCAGAGTTTTTGGATGTGAAGTTGGATGTGCTAAGATTACATAGCAATATAAGAGTTGAAATGCACATAAGACACTGGCTAATTGCATGGCTAGAATTGGCTTGATAGTATTACTTTTGGATTGAACTAAATAAGAGTAGACTAGCAGTAGAATATGCAAGTGGGATGTGGATGATTGGGAAAATCCAGGAAGATGAAGGGTATTTATAATCACAAGCTACCCATTTGTGTGGTCGCAGCTAAGTGTACGCATGCAAACTGTTGCCTGCTCTTTTTCAAAACTAGTACACCAAGTGTATACTCAACTCAACTTCATCTTTTTGAACTGATGCATAATTTTACTGACTCTCTGAGACACAAAAAAATATCCTTAGCCTGTCTGAATTTCAGAAAATAGCGGGGTTCATGGGATAACTGTGTTTTTATGCTTCACAGCAGGTCATGTGGCTGCTGGTTTGGGATAAAAGGTTTTACGAGAAATGCCAATCATGAAAACTGATAATGGGTGTTAGAACAGAACATATGTATATACAATTGGTTTGATTTTCTAACTCACAGTAGTATAAAACTTATTATTTTCAAATAAAAAACATCAATTTCAAGTTGCTTCAATCACTCCCTCAATCAAAATTCAAGTGTATCCTTGAAGACCTACATAAAAATCTTCAAAATCATGTTTCACTGAAATGATCACATGAGCACAAGTTTCAGGTGTGGTTTGACAATATAGCTGGTTTGATAAGAGAAAAATTAAAATTAAAATTTAGATAAGGATATTAGTTGAGCTGCTGTGTTTGTACCTGTCAATCTCACTTCTTGAAACACCTCTCTGTGTGGCAGGGCTGGAACTTTCAAGTTCAAGCGGACAGCCACTTATTTTCATACTGGGGCCTGGACCTGTCTAGGGGTTTTAGATTAGCATGGCAGCAACTCTCTTTCCAAGAGATATGATTTGTATATACAGGCCATGCCAGTGAATGCACTGCTGTCATCAGATTTTGTTTCGTGTTGAACTGGAGATTATAGGGTCACCATGTCTTAAAAACAATCTCTCAGTTCCATGTGTATCTTGGTGTTGTTTATAAATCAACTTTTTGTACTTGTACATGCCCATGTAAATTCTTAGAAGTCTCCTTTGTACAGCAGTACTCAACTCCCATTCCCAATGGGAGGCTTATGAGTCATTGTGGCTTTCCTGCTTGAGATCTTCCAAAAATTTGTGGCTTCTGGACAATGTTTTGAAAATACATAAGTAGGGTTACAAGATGCACACTCATCATGAGACAACAAGGTGAAGAGCAGCTTGTAGCTGAGCATCTCATGTTCAATTTAGTATCACTTTCTCCCTGCCTACACTTGGAGCAACAATGTAAGGGCGCGTACCACAGCCCTTTGCAATTTGAAAATCGATTTTGAGTTATTTTTTTTTTGCGCTTTTTTTAAAACGGAACCAAAAATCACCTCTTCCAAAAACGTGTACCACACACACTTCTTCATCTCGTCTATCTCACGCATCCCTTGGTCAATTCCACATCCTCCTCACATCACTATTCAAATGTCCTCCCCAGAGACAACGATCAACTTCTCCTGCTGCCATCATCATTCTCATTTATCAGGTTGTCTTGTTGCAACAGATCAATCGGTCCGATCAACCTTTTCTCATGATCAATGCACCATCAATCATTTTTAACAATCGGTCGTTATTTCCAATAGTTTTTCTTGGTAATCAATGCACGATTGATTGGTTTGTACAATATTGCGATATTGTGCTTTCTAATTGTTTGTTTTTTGTAATCAATGGATGATCGATCTTTTTTTCTGATCAATCGTTATCTCATTATTGAAAGTTTTTTATAATCACGATTGATCGTTTTTAACGATCAATCGTGCTTTCCGGTCATTTTTTTCTTGTAATCAATGGGCAATTGATCGTATTTTGCGATTGATCGTTATCTCCTTATTAATAGTTTTTTTATAATCAATGAAATCGGTCATCACACAACACTTTTTTTCATTGATTGATCAAGTGAGAAAATTGAGAAGAAGAACAAGCTAAAGAGCAGGATTCATCAAGATTTATTGACTGAGACAAGAAAATTGGATTGACCTATGCTGAGCAAAGATAAGAGATGCAATAGAGCCTAATAAAATTGAAGATAGGAGAAAAAGATGAGCTGGGTGATCAATGATAAGAAATTCAGGTTTCCATGGAGTCGAGGCAGAGTCGAGGCAGAGTTGAGGCAAGAAGTCCGAGTAAGAAGTGAGTCGAGGCAAGAAGTCGGAGTAAGAAGCGAGTATTCGTAGTTAGTTTTTTTTTGAGGCCTTTGAATCAGAATTGTCGTCTGGTGAAAGCAAGAGTGGTGGTAGTTCATCATCCAACCCATCAGATGGTTGAGCTGTCCGAGATATCTCGAAGAGGGTAAGATCTATCATCTGTAGAGTGTATATGGTGTACAATGAATGAGACAGGATGGCACAGTCCGTTTTTGCAAACGGGGGTGGGGCTGTTTCCTCAAACCGCAGCAAATGTGAAAAAACAATTAGTCGAGTCATCAAAAAAACTCACCCCTGTGGTACGCGTTTTGGGTCAAAAACGTTTACTGCCAAAAAAAATGGAAATTGGCAGCCCGCGGGCAGCTATGGTACGCGCCCTAACTGACACTACAAACAATACCAGTTTCGCCTAGAGATGGTCGAAGGGTATCCGTCGCGGATACCCGTTATCCGCTGGCGGATACCCGCCTGTGCCAACGGATACCCGCCAGCGGGTGCGGATGGCCCCTTTTCCGCAAATCGCCGGCGGGTATCCGGGTATCCCAAAGGATACCCGCGGCCGGAAGGGGAGATGGCCGGCTGGAAGGAAGCCCTTCCAGCCGGCGAGGTACTTGTACCTCGTCGACTGGAAGGACACCCTTCCAGCTGTCGAGGTACTTGTACCTCGTCGACTGGAAGGACACCCTTCCAGCTGTCGAGGTACTTGTACCTCGTCGACTGGAAGGACACCCTTCCAGCTGTCGAGGTACTTGTACCTCGTCGACTGGAAGGGTTTCCTTCCAGTGCTTGCAAGTACTTGATTTACCTACGAAATGCAATACTGTGTTTGTTGAGAAGTTCTTCCACAACTTGACCATATGGTAAAAAATAACCATAAGCTGGGGATTTCGCCGACTGTGTCTTCTCGATGGCAAGTAGCGAATCGGTCTCCGACGTATCGACGTTGATGCGAGCCAAAGATTGAACCACTTTTGAACCACTACCGGATGCTTGACTAGCTGTTAAAACAGATACGATCGTCAGCCAATCAGCTCAAATGTTCCTCAAGATGAGCTGCACTAACCCCCAAGGGTCCCTAGCAATGGGAACGTGCCTTGTTCCACTTCCATCGATCACATCATTCACGGCGGTCGATTGTTGCCCCTCAGAGGGGCTCTGATCAAGTTTACTCTGGGCTGTAAATTCTGGTTCAACGAAGATAATATCTCCCGGAGGCTTCAGTATCACTGCCGTCATCTTTCTAACGTTAACATACCAAGCGGTACCTCACCTGAGCTTGAAGGGCCGTCCTGCGCGTGTGATAGACAAGGACGGATTCGAGGGGGGCTCAAGCTAGAAGGTTGGACTTGGTTAGAGTTTCGCTTGTTCGATGGCATGTCTGAAGTGACGGCCGAAGTGGGATGCGTAGTCGTCGGGTCTGTGTATGATGTCACTTCTTCCCAGCTCTCTGCCGCCGGCTCATTCAAATCAAACATAGGACATGTTGCGAAAACTATGGCGGAGCTCAATAATAAAACTCTCAGCTGGAAAGAAGGGCTTCGGGCGAAGGAGGACACCCATTTCAAAGGCAAATTCATGTGGTTCGACATTGGCCGCCAGGATTCAAGTTGCTGCTTTCCCAAAGATAGCTGAGTTGCGTGGCTAGATGTCCATCAAGATATAATTATTACGAGTGGCAATTTGTGATCTGAACTCTGGTGAACTGGTAACTCCCGGTAGATGATGGCCCGGTCCATCCAGACGAAACTTGCCAGATCTCAAGATATAGAATTGAAAGGACGAGATTTCCTCAAGACACCTCCGACGCGTCGCAGTTTACCCGGATACAAAGTTTATTTTGCTGAACAGTTGAAATGTTGGAGCTCCCACAAATCAACCAAACCATGGCTTCCGGTGAGGCCGAAAAGGCTCGCGGGTGGGCCCCCGGATGCTCCCCGGCTGCGCAAAAGAGCACCTTGAAGTCTGCTGCGCGCCCACCGTAGTGGTGAGGTTGGTGTTGAAAATATTTTGAAGATTTCCTACAAACCAACCAAAAAAAAATATAAATCAACGAATACACACACGATGGGAGACGAGGATACCGAATCTACCTCGCCGGCTGGAAGGGTGTCCTTCCAGTCGACGAGGTACAAGTACCTCGCCGGCTGGAAGGGCTTCTTCCAGCCGGTCCGTCACCGGCCCTTTAGAGGGCGGGTATCCGAGGATACCCGCTGCGGCCAACAGATACCCGCTAGCGGGTGCGGGTGCGGATGCGGATGTGCAATTTCGCTGAAATTGCCATTGGATATCCGGATGCGGACCGACCATCTCTAGTTTCGCCCCAGGAAAAAATGGCAATTTGGGTGGTGGAAAATAGATCAATTTCCCTGAGGCTTTTTTACAAAATGACTCAGGAGTAAAAATCAGGCCAACATGAGCTATTTTAGCCCAAAAATAAAAATGCCTCAAACATTCCAAAACTAATTTCTAGCTCATTTGAGGGATTTTTATTTTTTGGCTAAAATAGCTCATTTTAGCCTAATTTTTACTCCTGAGTCATTTTGTAAAAAAGCCTCAGGCAAATTGATCTATTTTCCACCACCCAAATGGCAATTTTTTCCTGGGGCAAAACTGGTATTGTTTGTAGTGTGATGTGATGCATGCATAGGTATCACATTGTATCAGTCCTTTATCTCATTGCATTGCAAGGGCAATGCAGGGCCCCAAATCACATCACTTGCATTGGATTCTTTGATACATTGTATCAGTATTGCATTGGCAAAGTGATGCACTATAATTTGGTGGCATTGGTTTGCATTGCTTTCTGATACAATGCTGATGCAATGCATCAATTTTTCAATGCAATGCATTGCTTTTTCAATGCAATACTGATACATGGCTATTTATTGCATCACATTGCATCGTTTCACCATTGCTTGGAGAAGAGTTCTGGCCTTGCCCAGAAGCTGATCAGGTGGATGGAAGATCAAATTCAGCATTTCAATTGAGTCCACATGGAAATTTTGGGAGTTTACACACATCCTTGATCTGGTCAAACCCACAAAAAAAGGAAAGATTCAAAGGGGGAAGGGGGCAGTGGATGAAAGAGGAAAGATAGGTGATTGGCACCAAAAAAAGAAGAGAAAATTGAGGCCTTGAATTTGACACCACAGATGTTGAGAATCTGTGGAGAGAAGCCAACCAATAGGTGATGGGAATTTTTCTCCCACTAAAAATGCAAAGCTCTCAGGCCAAAAAAACAAGTATTACTTTGAAGGTTGCACTTTGCCCCAGCCCTTTACCAGGGCCCTGTGAAGCAAGCTGCTTGTGTTAAGTCAGATCCTTCTGGCCCCTGAAACGAGGGGATGGTGTTACTCATTAGGCAGACACATCCACACCATGAAAATCAACATTTTTTTCAATGATGCTTTGCTCGTCTGATCTCAAAAAAAAAAAAAAAAAAAAAATTGAAAGAAGCTGGTGTTTTTTTTGGAATCCAAGTATATTCAGGGATTTGTACAAACAAAAATTCAAGCCCCCCCCCCCCCCTAAAAATAACTAAAACAAAATGTCAAGGTTTTTCTCTTATAACAAAAAACAAGAAAAAAGACATGACTTCAAAAGGTTACAATAGATATTGAAAAAAAAATGAGAAGAAAAAATAGCCCCCCAACACCAGTAAAGCTGACACACTGTGACTCTGAGGCCGGCCCATATCATTGCATGGGTCAAAAGCTCTGGGCATGGAGGCCCCCAGCCGGCTGCAAAAGCGGCAGAGAGAGTGGGGGCCAGCTCGTTAGCCCCAAGAAGCTGGCAGCTCACCCAAAGCCTTACTTTACATAGCCATTTTGAATCTGACCAGTAGCTTGTATTGGGACCTGCCCCAGGCGGGTTTTTGAAGATATCATTTGACATAGTTAAGTTGCAAAGACGTTGTTGTAGAGTGGCCGCTTAGTTAATAAGGGAAAAGGATGCAGGTATTCGACGATGATATAGATACATTTGAACGTTGTTCTCGATGGGTATAGAAGAGTATGTTATATAACGAGTAGAACGGGTGGGTCTCTTGAAAAGAAAAGTCCGTGGACATGAAGTTACGGTTGATTAAACTGGCTATGAATAGGATCCCTGTACTCATCGATGATGGATGATCATATCTTGAGCTGGTTATCTTTCCCGCCATGATCCAATCGCCCCAGTCTTGCCTTCCGAGCCGACGAGCTGATGTTGAAGATGGTGCAGCGCCCTTCGTGCCACTTCATAAAGATCAATGTCGCCGAGGAAATCAACCAGAAACTGATATAGATCATCACCGTTAGGATACTTCCGGTATTATTCCAACCTATGCATACGTAGAGACAAATAAATTAAACAATTGTGAATGCTTTTTTAGGTTGAATATCTGTTAAGCTCATACCAAAAACTCCCGCGAAAATCATCCATCCACCTGCAGCTAACTTGTTTTCAGGGTTTCCTGATCAGATTCATCATACAATGAGTGCGAGAAATAGTGAGATGAATTAGTTTGTTTCGTACGCAATCAGATTTCGAAGACATTCATGAACATACCATAATCTAGATGCCAAATGTACCCGTCAACTGGAAACGAGCCTGGGCCATCACCGGCTTCTGCTGCATCACCCCCAACGCTGAAGGATCGTAGGCTTCAGGTTTTGTTAAGAAACCACTCAGGAGAAAAGGGAAAGAACTGACGAGCGGATGAAGGTGTACATCTTGAAGTACCAGGCAGCCTTAGTGATCAAACCAGCACCAACATACATCAAAGCGATCGTCGAGATCATCAGGAAAAGACTCAGATTTAATCTGGCAGATGAGTTGTAGATCGCATAGCCTATCCCGAGTCCTAGTAATATCCCCGTCACCGCGGCGATCGGGATCGATGTTGCTGGTTGGCCGAGGGAGACCTGTTTGAAGTCTCATGAGTCGACAGTTCTTCACGAGGAACAAAAAGAAAGGAAACAGTGGGGGTTGGACTTACGCCGCCAATGAAGACTACTGCTTCAAGACCTTCCCGAAGCACGGTCAATGCGGGGAGGAAGAAGAGGATGTATCTGCTACTAGTCGAGTCGGCCGAGTTTGTTCTTCTACTTCCTCCGACTCTTAGCATCGAGAGCAGTGTTCGGAATTTGGAATGTAGCTTGGGAGCCTTGCCGTCGACATCGATGATGTTCTCTTGCTCGAACGCCTTAGATAACTTGAGCCGCCATTTGATCTTCGACCGCTCCATCCGCATCATCGTGATCCCCATCACAAAAATCATCCCCGATGCGATCAACGAGAATATCCCCTCTGTGCAATCGTCACAGTTTTCCCTTTCGTCAGCTCTTTTTTTTTTTTTTTTTTTTTAATTGTTAGAGAAGATAGGCTCTTTCTGAGCGCCTGGACTTGCCCCATAGCTCCTCCGCATTCCCATATATGTCCGTGAACTTGGTGTAGTAAACTGCGAGGAATCCTGCTCCAATGCATAGCGAGAGGAACAAGCCGACGAATGTTCCTGAGAAAACCTAGAGATATTCAGCTTATAAGACAGATGACCCCCCAAAAAAGCATATTCAACTTTCTAGAAAGATAAGTGAATATTATCACTTACCTGTACTCTCATCCGTTTGATGATTCTATCCCGATAGTCGCCATGATTCTTAAGGATTCCAGGGATCGGATGTGTGGCCTGACGACTATCGATGCTTTCCAACTCGAGATGAGACTCGTTCAAGTTTTCCTCGAGCCGGGGCAGCCGCGGGGTTTCGATCGACAATTGGTCCTTGGTGGGTGTGGGTGAATGGCCCTGTGGGCGGACGATCTGCTCGATGAGGGCGAGGAGGACGGACAGGATGATGGCTGCCTCCAGCACTTCTCGGAAACAGATCAGGAAGATCGGGACCGAGAACAGGTTGGCCGGCATCCTCTATGATGTAGGCCTCTTCTTTCCTTTCCTTTCCGTTCCTTTCCGTTCGGGATAGATGATTGTCAAGTTCGTCTTCTTTCTTTTTCGATCGATCTTCAACAGTTTCGCTCTGATCTCCTTGATACAAAGATAATCAGTATTTTTGTGGGTGTTGTTCTCAGAACGCCACCGCTTGTGCCGTCACGGAGATGTATGCACATGCTCCCAAATTGTGAAAATCCAGTTGAGCTTGTGGTATGCCCACATGCCACCATCAATCACCATCCTACATATTTATATTCCTGTACAGCCCTCAAGCAACATGGACGGTGGTTGCGTTGTCATTCATGAGTCTCGAGACTCAAGCCAGCTTGTTATTCTCCAGCTGGGCCTTGAACTGGTTGTGTCGTGACTCCTTCTCTGCTGTCACTTGATCACCAATCTGCATCATCAACCTGGCTCATTCTTACGATGGCTTAAAATCTAGTGAATGGGAATACTTTCATGGAGCATGTAACACTAGATCACTGATCAGTGAATTGACATGTTCCTTACATACCAATCTCAACTTCAAAACACAAGCATCAAGACCAAGCAAGTTGAGTACTAAATATTTACTTTTTACCACCAACTCAAGACCCAGTCAAGGCAAAGCCCATCCAGACAGTCATCAACAAAACTACCAGCAATACAATCCCTGAATTTTATGATGATGATCCCCTTGTTTTTTTTTCATGTTTGTTTGGTAAGAAAGATCTATATATGCTACCATGGAGTGACCACAAGACACACAGGGATGAAAGTAGAAGTAATCAATATATTACCACTTGTTTTGAAGAATTTAATCCTTGGTTGGAAACACTTTGATTTGATGTGAATTGATCTTATTTTTCCCCTCTGGTGAAACTTCTTGAGTCAACAACCCCAATGAAAGCCTTGATATAATTCAGCTTGAATCTTCAAGGAGTGATTGATGGATCAAATCCTGAAGCAATCCATAGTGTTTGTGAATTGAATCCTCCTGATCAACCATACTCTTAGGGCCTAATCTGAGTACATAGATCTTATCCATAAGGTCAACATATTGGATACCTTCCAATACATCTTCATTACTTTGAGAACTGTTCAAGCTTTTCATTAAGAGCTTGAATAAGTTTTGTATGTAATGATTTTCATGAGGAAGGCCGTCTTTTATCTTCCATATCATATTCCAAAAGAGTGACCTTTCTGATAGATCTAACTTTTTCATTAACATGTCAAATTTTTCTGGATACTGATTTTCCTTAATTGGTTTCAAAGGACCATTGATTGGTTGATGTTCTGCAAGCCAATTCAAAATTTCACTCAACATTTGCTTTTGGAATTCAGTTAAACTCTTCAGTAAACTTTTGAAATCTATATCAGAAAACTTTCTCTCAATGATGAGCTTTGAATTTCCATGGGGTGGCATGTCTTGATCATGCTCTGTTGGTTTCAATAAATTTGGCTTATAAATATTCAAGGTTTCTAACAAAACATTGAATCTTTTGAGAGAAGCCTTTTGCTCCTTTGACTTTATAGTGCAATCAGGGGATCTTATGTTTACCCATAACATCATTTGGTACTCATTTAAATTTCCCAGAAGAGTGCCCAACTTTGCATCAAAAGAGTCATCTGATTTTGAAGTGGATTCAGGTAACTTATCCCCCATTTTTTCTTGAAAAGGT